AGACGGCATGGCGAAACCAATCCGCCCACATGGACACCGATGTCCCCCATCCAAGAAAAGCCGAAACGGCTACGGACGGCACGTCTGGGGGGGGGCGCGCCCTCCAAGCAGGGACACGGACCGAGCACGAAGTGGGGCTGGGGCGGCAACGACGGACAACGACGATGGCGACGACGACGACGACGACGACGACGACGACGATAATGACGACGACGACGACGACCACGACGACGACGACCACGACGACGACGACGACGACGACCACGACGACGACGACGACGACGACGACGACGACGACAACGACGACGACGACGACTGCCGCTCCCCAGCATGTCCCAAATCCCTCCAAGACGACTGAGCACGGCTCGAATAGCGCCCCAAGATGCCCGCACGCGGCCCCGAGACTCGACAAGAGACACCCGACATGGTCCAAACATCCTCCTCATTATTTCCTTGGTCTCTCCTCCCTCTTCCTGGCCTCCTCCTTCTCCTCCCCCATCCCCCTCCTCCTCCTCATCCTCCCCCTCCTGGGCCTCCTGAAGCCTTTTGAAGGGATTTACTCGAACTATAATGACTGTTGAAATCAAACGAAAACAGCTTCCGATGTAAAAATGCATCGTCTTTGTTGGTGCATGCAAACAACAAAAACCAAGCATAACCCTAAAAGCAAAACCTCGACACCCTCCCTTTTCAACAACACTAGATTAAACGCAATAACGCTTCTCAGATGTGATACTCGCTGCGTCACTCCTCCACCCCTGCTCATTTCCCTTGACATGCGTTGGACGTGGTATGTGTGGTTTTCGTGGTATTCTGGATTAATGGTTTTCGTGGTTTTCGTAAATCATACGTTTTGAATTAATGGTATTCGTGGTTTGCAATTCTTGGATTGATGGCATTCATGGTTTGGCAATTCTTGGTATTAATGGTCGGGCCGCCGCCTGTTGGAAGGGCGGGACTGGGCAGCACACACACACACACACTGGCAAACACAAGACGCATGTTCACTGCATCACAGGCCGCGCACACATCATACACATACACATGACACACAATGTATAAGACGTGCGTGTAAGATTCGCAGTGCATGGCAAGCGTGGCACTTTCTCGACACCAAAGAGGTGCGCAAGATGTGGCCTCTCACCGCTGTCTCAATACGCGCCAGTCGTCCAGGCGTAGCAAGCGTTGCACTTTCTCGACGCCATAGGGGGTGCGCAGGGGGTGGTCTCTCGCCGCCGTCTCTATACGCGCCAGTCTTCCAGGGCACAGCAGGCGTGGCACTTTCTCGACACCATAGGGGGTGCGCAAGGGCTGGTCTTTCACCGCGGTCTCTATACGCCCCAGTCGTCCAGGCACAGCAGGCGTGGCACTTTCTCGACTCCATAGGGGGTGCGCAGGGGCTGGTCTCTCACCGCGGTCTCTATACGCGCCAGTCTTCAAGGCACAGCAGGCGTGGCACTTTCTCGACACCATAGGGGGTGCGCAAGGGCTGGTCTTTCACCGCGGTCTCTATACGCCCCAGTCGTCCAGGCACAGCAGGCGTGGCACTTTCTCGACTCCATAGGGGGTGCGCAGGGGGTGGTCTCTCACCGCGGTTTCTATACGCCCCGGTCGTCCAGGGCACACCAAGCATGGCATATTCTCGACACCGTACGGGCTGCGCAGGGGGTGGTTTCTCACCGCGGTCTCTATACGCCCCGGTGGTCCAGGCACAGCAGGCGTGGCACTTTCTTGACACCATAGGGGGTGCACAGGGGGTGCTCTCTCACAGCGGTCTCTATACGCCCCAGTCGCCCAGGCACAGCATGCGTTGCACTTTCTCGACACCATAGGGGGTGCGCAGGGGGTGGTTTCTCACCGCGGTCTCTATGCGCCCTGGTGGTCCAGGCACAGCAGGCGTAGCACTTTCTCGACACCATAAGGGGTGCGCAAAAGCTGGTCTCTCACCGCAATCTCTATACGCCCCAGTCGTTGAGACACAGCAGGCGCGGTACTTTCTCGACACCATAGGGGGTGTCCAGGGGGTGGTCTCTCACCGCGGTTTCCATACGCCCCGGTCGTCCAGGCGCAGCAGGCGCGGCACTTTCTCGACACCATAAAGGGTGCGCAGGGGCTTGGTCTCTCACCGCGGCCTGTGGTCGCCCCAGTCGTCCAGGCACAGCAGGCGTGGCACTTCCTCGACATCATAAGGGGTGCGCAAGGGGTGGTCTCTCACCGCGGTTTCTATGCGCCCCGGTCGTCCCGGCACAGCAGGCGTGGCACTTTCTCGACACCATAGGGGGTGCGCAGGGGGTGGTCCCTCACCGCGGCTGCTATGCACGACGGTCGTCCAGGGCATAGCAGGCGCGGCATTTTCTCGACGCCATAGAGGCTGCGCAGGGGGTGGTCCCTCACCGCGGCCGCTATGCACGACGGTCGTCCAGGGCATAGCAGGCGTGGCCCTTTCTCGACACCATAGAGGGTGCGCAGGGGGTGGTCCCTCACCGCGGCCGCTGGCTGGCTCGAATCTGTCCTCGACGGAGGATAGAAGGCTAGGAAGAGGGAGGAGGTTCAAGTAATATGGCGTTGGATGACACATATGGGAACATTCGCGACGAGGGCTGAGAACGCAGAATCGCGCATATATTATAAATTTAAGCAAACACAAAATTTAAATTAAGTATGTGGGGTTCTTCGGTAGCGTAATTCTGGTAGCGCTTGGCCGCGCTGGCGCGGCTCCGGTTGTTGTCCTCGCTCTGCTCGTAGTGTCCGTAGGTGCTGATATCCCGGAAGAGGTAGGCGCTCTCGGAGCGGTGGTGTTGGATAGCTGCCGCGAGCGTCGGATGCTCCTCGGTGCTGCACCCAAGCGCCTACTTGGTCCTCATCTCGTAGTCCGCGTCGATCAGTCGCTTGATATCCTCGAGGGCGCGGTCGTCCTCGTAGGCCTTCCTCGCGACCCACTCGTTGTAGTCTAGGAGCGTCGCGAGGCTTGCTTTCTCCCAGTCGGGGCCCGCAGCGCGCGAGTAGCCCACCATGAGCATCATGTGCCAGCGGCCGAACTGAATTACGCTACCGAGGAAACCCACATACTTAACTTAAATCTTGTGTGTTCGCTGAAGTTTATAATCTATGCGCAATTCTGCGTTCTCAGCCCTCGTCGCGAATGTTCCCCTATGTGTCATCCAACGCCATATTGCTTGAACCTCCTTCCTCTTCCTAGCCTTCTATCCTCCGCCGAGGACAGATTCGAACCAGCCAGCGGCCGCGGTGAGGGACCACCCCCTGCGCACCCTCTATGGTGTCAAGAAGGTGCCACGCCTGCTATGCCCTGGACGACCGTCGTGCATAGCGGCCGCGGTGAGGGACCACCCCCTGCGCAGCCTCTATGGTGTCGAGAAAATGCAGCGCCTGCTATGCCCTGGACGACCGTCGTGCATAGCAGCCGCGGTGAGGGACCACCCCCTGCGCACCCCCCATGACGTCGAGAAATTGCCACGCATGCTGTGCCTGGACGACTGGGGCGCATAGAGACCGCGGTGAGAAAACACCCCCTGCGCACCCCCCATGGTGTCGAGAAACTGCCACGCCTGCTATGCCTGGACGACTACTATGCCTGGACGACCGGGGCGTATAGGGACCGCGGTGAGAGACCACCCCCTGCGCACCCCTTATGATGTCGAGACAGTCCCACGCATGCTGTGCTCGGGACGACATAGGCGCATAGCGGTCGCGCTGAAGGACAACTGCTGTGCCTGGACGACCGGGGCGTATACAGGCCGCGGTGAGACACGACCCCCTGCGCACCCCCTATGGTGTCGAGAAAGTGCCACGCCTGCTGTGCCTGGACGACCGGGGCATATAGAAACCATGGTGAGAGACCACCCCTGCGCACCCCCTACGGTGTCGAGAAAGTGCCACGCCTGCTGTGCCTGGACGACTGGGGCGTATAGAGACCGCGGTGAGAGACGACCCCCTGCGCACCCCCTATGGTCCCGAGAAAGTGCCACGCCTGCTGTGCCTGGACGACCAAGGCTTATAGAGACCGCGGCGAGAAATCACCCCCTGCGCACCCCCTATGGAGTCGAGAAAGTGCAATTTGCGCAACGCCTGGTGCCCCTGGACGACTGGGGTGTATAGAGACCGCGGTGAGCATCATGCGCCAGCGGCCGAACTGAAAAAGCCCTCCAATGGCTGCATCTTCTAGGGCCCGTGAAAGGCCCCGGACATGCCCAGTGTTTGTGGACATCGCAAGCAGGGTCTTGCCTTCGTGGGCCGGCTCTCTCCATCAGGTTTCGGATCTCTCCAAGCTGGGGGACGTGGCGAGATTTCTTGGTGGGCATTTTCATGAGGCGCCCCATGGTCGCATCGTCTACCAGCATCAAATGACGCCACTGGAAGTTGTAGTGCTGCGCCGTGTTATTGTCGAGGCGTTTCCTCTCCTCGGACCCCGAGGTCGCCTCGCGGTCGATGTCTTCGCCGCGGGCCCTCGCGTCGTCCTCGGCCTTCGTGATGGCCAGGGCGCGCCTGCAGGCGGTCTTGACTGGCCGGCACTTCGCGGGGTCGTGCGCGTCGATGCTCGCACCAGCACCTTCACGATCTGGTCTTTGCTGTCCGCCAAGTCTGAGAAGGCTCCGACCTGGGCGACCCTCTTCTCCACAAGCCACTGCGCGATCTCCGGCTGGACACGACGTCCCCCCAGTAGGTCCCGGAGGTTGACGTCCAGCTGGCGGCCGAGAGCGCGATCGCAGCTGGCCGCGCTGCCTTGCCTGCCCACCCCGCGCCGCGCGGGCGGACCAGCGCCGGCGGTTGGTTCGAGCCTCGGAGGCCGCGCTGCGGGCGCATATGCTGCCTCTCTCTGCGGTCTGCCCTGTGGCCCCATCCATTCTGGCGCCCCCCCCCCACACCCCCCCTTCGCCCCCCCTAAACCCTGATGCTGCGCCTGAAGCATTCTCCTGATTGCCCATCGAGCAGAGGGGAGAAAGGAAGTCAACGGGGCGAGGGGAGGGAGGAGTCTCGCGCGCCTCTTTGCTCTGCGGCTCTGCAGAGCTACTGCTGTCGTTTCGTTGTCAGAGGGCGCGGCCCCGCCCTCAGATCTGCCGCAGTTCTCTGGCGAGCTCCGCATGTCCACGGCCTTCGCAGTCCCAAAACAACTGGCGCAGAATGCTGCGTCCAACTCGCTTCCGCAGGCCACCGGCCGGCAATGCTCGCGGCCTTCGTAACTGCGCGCGCACGGGCACGGGCTGCGGCTCGTCAGAGACGGGCGCTCCCTGTGCAGCATGGCCGACCGCGCGCTCAATATCCATTCTGGGTCTCTGTCCTGGTCGTCGCCCTGGTGCCCGGCGCTTGCCTTGGCGGCCTCCGCGTCTCGCCCAGGGGCCGCTTTGCGGTCCCCGTGGACGCCCTCGGTCAGCTGCCCGGGCGGTGGGCGCACGTCGCGCGGCCCGCCGAATTGAAGCACTTCGAAGCTTCCGGCCGGCCAGAAGTCGTTCCGGAGCGCCTGCAAGACCTGTGCCTCCACCAACTGTTCGGGGCAGCACCTGGCCCGGTCGCGTTGCAAGGGGACCTGGCTCCCGTCCGCCCAGCGACCGACAGCTGCAACCTGCCCCCTGCATGTGCCGCCAAACTGCCGGACCACCGCCGGCATGTAGAAGCGCGGCGACTGGCGGGCGCGCCCCCGCGGTGTGTCTTGCACTCCTGCCCCGCGGAGGGCGCGCAAGCAGCTGTGGTAGGGGCCTTTCCTCAAGGGGGCAGCTATTTCCAATCTACCGTCCCCGGGGTACCCCACCGCCGGCCAAAGCCATGCCGCGTTGCCCTGGGCCGCTTTCTGGAGTCAGGGCTCTGGTCAGCTCGTGCCAAGCCCCGCCCCAGTCGCGGCCGCAAGCGTCGTGCCGCAACGCCGCCCACGGGGTCGGCGCTGTTTTCCACTTCATGCGGTACGACGTGCCGCACAGCGCATCCCGCGTGAGCCCGAGGTTCCACGATCTGCGGATGTCTCCCCAGCGGAGCACAGCGCTGGCGAGGCAGATAGAAACCTGCGATGCATCGTTCTGCCTCTTGCGCCCGCCAGAAGAGGTCATGGAGTTTGTCCACTACCAGCTGCGTGAACGGTTCCGCCCGCACTCTCGCGGCGGCTGCCGCTCAGCGCGCTTCTGTCACGGCTGTCAATGCCAGCTCATCCTGCGGCGGCCACCCCATCTGGGTTGCGTTGTCAAACCAGCGGAGCGCCGAAAACACAGCGCCGGGCACATAATGTCCCAGCTCCTTCTGCTCGTCCAGGTACACCTTGACGTCGATTTCAGTCACAGTTGCAACCTGGCGGCCGCGCGATTCCAGCCGCGTCATGTATCGCTGGACATGCCGGGAGTGCTGTCTGACCGTGCTCGCCACTCACGCTTTGCGCCCTAGCAGCTCGGTCAGTAGCCTGCGCTGGTCTGCAATCGGCAATCCGCAGTCATCCATGCGGGCGCAGCGTTGGCTGTGTTGGCGCACTGGGTCAACGAGATGCAGACATGCCTTCAGCGCCGTCTCGTGCTCGTTCGCGTCCAGGCTCTCCTGGTCGCGCTGCTGCTCTGCGCGCGGGCGCGAGCCGTGGCATGCTTCCTTCGGACTCTTGCCACGTGCTTGATGGCGAGGTACGCCTGCTCTGCCACATCTAGGGCATGGTCAAAGCAGCCTGCCGCTGGTCGCAAGGGTGTCTGTTTCGGGGTCTAATTCCCCCAGCTCGTCTGCTAGGAGTTCCATCACCAGCAGTGAGGTTACATGATTCGCCCCCAGCCAGTGTCGCACGGCGCCGGCGGAATCCCCGGATGCACCGCAATATGTCTCCACTGCGTCTTCGAGGCGCGGCGTCAGAAGCGCCAGCGGGACGCGCAGGCCCTCGTCCCCGCTCTCCTCGAGAACGGGGGTGGGGATTCTCCATCGAAGCTGCCTCTTTGTTCCTACTACCTCCCGCCGTGGCCGCAAAACCACGGAGCGGAGGCGCGGGTTCAGCAGCAGCTGCGCCGAACCGCGTCCCCCACGCCCGCTTGGCGGTGCGCGGTGGTGCGGGTTGCTGTTTGCCCCCCCCCCTCGTTCTCCGTCGCGGCTGCTGTTCGCTGGCCGTCAGACGAAGGTGGAGGGGCAGATGATTTGTTTCCCCGTTCCCGTCCCTCGGGCCCGCTGAGCGGTGCCCTGTGGTGGGTATGTTGGGGGTGGGGGTGGGTGTCTTTGTGCCTCTGCTGCTGGGCTCGCTTGAGCCGGAGGCTACGGTTGCCTGGCCCTCTCTCTGTCGCGTCGCAAGCTTCCTGCCTCCCCTGTCGCGTCTGCTACTACGGCCAAGTAGGAGGGGTCATCCCGCTTGCACATAAAAAACGCCGAACGGTCAGGCGCCTCAGGAAACTCTCGAGAGGCGCGGCTGCAGTGACAGGTCCCACCTTCCCCATGAGACTTAATCTCTCCTGGGCCGTGTCCCCCCAAACCTGGTAGGAAGACGTATAGCCCTTCCGAGGGTCGCTGACGGGCAGCGTGACGGCAGCGCGGCATCGGGGCTTCTTCTCCCTCGCGGGCCTGTTAACCGGCAGTTTTTGGTTGGTCGCAGCGCGGGCGGTCGCGCGGCGCGGTCGAAGCCTCAGCGGGGACGCTGCAGGGTGGAGCTGCGCACGAGGAAGCGGGGGGCAGCGGATGGCGGCCGCGGAGAGACGGGCGGCGCTCTCGGGCCATGCCGACTCCCCACAGGCGGCCAAGTCGCTCCGCCAGATTATCCTGGCGAAGCCGACAAGCCTCCCAGGGCCGAAGGCCAGACCGGCGTCCAGGGCCTCAGGGAGGCGCAGGGGGAGAGGCTCGACAAGAGAAAGCTGGACTGCAGGAGCAGCAACAACAGCAACTCCCCGGGGGCTACCAAGGGCGTTCCCTGTCCCAGGTGCCCGCAGTGAGGGGTGCAGTGGAGGCAACCTGGGCCTCCTTGGAATAGCCGTGGTCACCTTGGGCCAAGGCCACCGCTGGCAACTCCCGAACTCCTCGGGAGCCGGGCTTTTGCCCCAGAAGTTCGCGGATTCTCAAACATGACCGACCTGGCGCCGCAAAATACAAACAACATTGGCGAGCCCCTCCTCCTCCTCCTCCTCCTCCTCCTCCTCCCCACGAGGCCTCCAGAAACCTCCAGAAAAACATCGAACAGATGGATACCTGCAAATACCGTTGAACCCTTCAGACACCTCCGTTGACCTCGTCCGCACGAGACATCCGACGTTGTGCTCTCATGTTGAAACGTGGCCCTTTCCCCGGGCCAACTGTTGCGTCCCCTATCCTTTCCAGGACCCTGGGCCCGACAACTGCCCCCAGAGGCAGAAAGCCGCAAACAAACATGTGTTGGAGATCCTCCGCCCTGTGTTTGTTCAGTGCGCTGGAGGCCTGGAACCCCCTGCCAAGGGGATCCTCCCCTGAACCTGCCCCGGGGCGCGGCGACCAGGCCAGCGCTCCGGACAGCTCCCGGCAGCGTCGTCGAGCCCGCCACAGAGCGGCGCAAGGAGGCACAGAAACGCTCCAATGCCTCGAGTCTCGAGCTTCGAGCCGACGCCGACCCGCTGACGACGTGCCGCGCATACGGCGACGGCAGGCTGGAGGCCTCGAAACAGAGGCCCGAGCGCATTCGGTCGGAGGCCCGCGCCGCATCACCGATGCACCAGCGACGCGCCAGTGACACCTTCACGGCGCCAATCGGAGGGCCCCAGGGAAAACTGTCCCAGGCGCCCGTCGGCTCCAAAATCCAAGGGTGACCAGAACACCAGCAACAAGAGCATCCGTCCCCAACACCTTCACGGCGACAAACGGAGGTTCCCAAATCGAGCCGCATCGCGGGTGCTGGAGCCCATCCGGATAACCAGTCGGACCCCGTCCGTGCGAGAAACGAGCGGGGCCTCACGCGAGACGGCATGGCGGCCTGGCGCGGGGGGCTTACACAACATCCACCCACGAGACACGCCGCGTAGCGAGAAAAGAGCACCCACGCGCGACTCTGCGCGGGCAGCTGGCGCGCCAGTCCTGCGCCTCTGATCTGGGCGGCATGGAGGAATGCGGTCTCGAGGGAAACCGGTCCTGGACCCTGGGGCCTCCCCCCAAGTGTTCAGCCCGAGCCTCTTGCCTGATGGTCCCGGGACATGTGGAAAGCCTCTGAGGCCAGAAACGACGAAAAACCTGCGGTCTCGTTTCCACCGTGGCGATTTGGGCGGCACTGGCCAAGCGCAGCCGAGGCCGGCGCGATCATGTCGTACACGTACAGCGTGTACAGGGTGAACTCCGTGGCCCCGTGGCCGTCGCCCTGTCGGCGTTGTCGCCGCCGCCCATCGCCGCCGCCGCAGCTCCGCCGTCGTCTAAAATCGAGGTTGGACGGTGGAGGTCGTCGGACACTCGTGTCACCTAGCCTCGTCCCGATCAACGGTTTGATGTTCTGGGGTTTTCAAAAGCATTGCGTTGCCTTCCTTGGTCTCCATGTGGAATTGGGGATATCATGGCCGCAGGGCCAAACAACCCCGTAAGGTAAGAGAGCGGAGCGCGCAGGCGCTGCCTTTTGTTCCCTCCCGCCACGCGAGCCAAAGGATGCTCGCGAAAGGCGACTCCTCATTTTCGATCCTCGGGGGGACGGAGGAGGGGAGGCAACCTAACGAGCGGAGAGGGGGCCCAAAGGCAGCCGAGGGCCCCGGAAACCCAACGGGACCTCCGCTCAAAATAAGACGCGCGCCGAAGCCGAGGGGTACAATAGAAGCTCGACGACAAGAATCCTCCCGCAAGAAATCCAACTCTGAGACCCCAGGACGTGCATTGATGTTTGGTGTGGGAGCGTTACGCTTTCAATAGCAAAACCATCGAAACCCAAGAAAACCAGGGTACCCTCGAGGCAAGCAGGGTGTTTCTTGGCATGGGTTGCCAGTTTAAAACACAACAAGGGCGCCATCGTGGCCATGGTCTGGGGGACGAACTCGTCGTCGGGGTCGAGGTTCCTGGACGATGCTTGGCCTTCCTGGGGCCTCCTCGTCGCCACGGCTGGATGCGTCTCGAAGAAGTGCCAGGCAATTCCCCAGGACACGGCTGCAGGCAGATTGTTGACAGAAGCTCGACCTCCAGGAGTTTGACGCACTTCGCCCTTTCCACAACCCTGGAAGGACTGTCCCCGCGGCCGCGTCTGGAAGGAGCTCGAAGAGCCAAAAGGAACCCTGAGTGGTCGCTGCCGCCGCCGACGCCGTCCAGACGACGAACGAGCAGGAGGAGGCAGGAGGAGGCAGGAGGAGGCAGGAGGAGGAGGAGGAGGAGGAGGAGGAGGAGGAGGAGGAGGAGGAGGAGGAGGAGGAGGAGGAGGCAGGAGGAGGCAGGAGGACCCTGAGTGTTCTGAGGTCTCTCGGGAAGCTCCTGGATCGGAGGGGACCCCCCTCCACTTTACCCGCTCAGCGTACCAGGAGCGGCGCGGGAGGCGCCTTCAACGGGGAGCCCAACGTGCGAGGCGGGCATTTATCCATATCGACCGCCTGTGAACCGACGTCCTGGTGGCCCAATGGGCGGTGGATATGGATATTCTCTTGCACAGCTGTGCTCTATAGCTCGGACATCTTTATTTCGTCGTGGTTCGTGGTTCGTGGTGGTTCGTCCCCCTCGGCCCCTCCCCTGAGCCTGAGCCCCAGCTCTCCTGGGCCTCTCCTCCTTGGGACCCCCCCTCCGTCCAGGCTTCCCAGGGCAGCCTCCCTGGGCCGCGGAACCCTTTATTTTCGTCGTGGCTCGTGGTGGTTCGTCCCCCTCGGCCCCTCCCCCTGAGCCTGAGCCCCAGCTCTCCTGGGCCATCCCCCCTTGGGACCCCCCCTCCGTCCAGGCTTCCCAGGGCAGCCCCCCTGGGCCGCGGAACCCTTATTTTCGTCGTGGCTCGTGGTGGTTCGTCCCCCTCCCCCCCCCTGAACCTGAGCCCCAACTCCCCTGGGCCACCCCCCTTGGGCTCCGTCCAGGCTTTCCCGGGCAGCCCCCCTGGGCCGGGCCTCCAGTCCTTCGCGGCTCCTTTGTGCAAGAGCCAGGGCAAGCGTGCCACTTGTATTTTGGTCCCTGGAGGCCCGAATATGTCCATATCCACCGTCTGCCGGGGTCTCCGAAAATTGATCCTCCAGGCGGTGGTCATATATACATTCCCACCTTGGACAACGCCGCACCAAGAAATCCGCGCGGACCTCCAAAATATATTGCTCATCCGATCGTTCTTCTTCGAACCGTCGCTGTCGCAGGCGCCGCCCACGGTTTCGGGTATCGAGGGTCGATGTTTTCGGGCGTTTTGGACGTGGTTTGAGCCTTTGGAGGCCAGACGCCTGGTTCGGGACGACTATGATGTCATGGCGCGATTGGCTCAGGATGCGTCCCAGGAGCTCCAGAGAGTATTTAGCGTCCCTCGCTTTGAAGCCCGTGCGAAACGTTCAGAAATATGGGAGATCCCTGAGTTCCTGGAACGTGTCATTGTCACGACCCGTTGTTAAGTCAGGCTCGTGTCGTGCCGTCTTCGGCGTTGGTTTCTGACACCGCGGGGATCGTTCAACCTTGAACGATCGGCCGTTTCCGAAACGTCCAAATCGTTCCACATCGAGCGAATCTGGGTCGCCCGCGGCGTTCGAATGTGAAGGCCGCTGGCGGGGTCGCCGCCAGTCGACACGACACGAACCTACCGTACTCTTTTGGTCGGCGGAGCCACGGCGCCGTGCCCTCACACAGGCCCTTGGCCTGCGCTGCACCCCCCCCCCGGCGAGCGGTCCGCGTAGGCGCCGATGAGGCCGCAGAGGTTGCCGTCGCAGAGCCTCCCCAGGTCCGACCCCTGCGGGGGAGGGGCCGGCGCGGCTTTAGGCCGGCGCACTGCAGTGGGGTCGAGCAGGATGTGCAGCGATACAGTTGATCGTTGAGTCGTTGAAGAGTCTTCGATCACACAGCATCTCGACACTGTCGGGATTTCTCTCCACTTCGTGAGGGGACCGCAGCCACGACGGCACAGGAAAACGCGCTGGGCCGGGAAGCGAGGGGTGTGCAGAGGGAGCATCTGCCGTTCCCCTCCGCCCGCCACGTCGACACCTTGTCCGGCCACTCCGACGCTATGGCTGGAAAGGCTGGGGTTGGTGAGGGAAGAGTGGGGATCGAAGATCGAGGATCGAATAGAAAAACGGCGACGTGGACGGCAGCTCGAGAAACGGGCCACGAAGAACCCCAGGAACGGCCCCGCCCAGGGATCGATTCTGAACGGACGCCCAGACCAGCATCAGCATGGAAGATCGCGGTCCGCAGGAGGAGGGGAGGAGCGGAAATAATGGAAACATCGGGTGTGAGGGGGGCAGGGGAAGAGGGGGAGGGTTGCTCGTTGGTGCCCTGCTCTGAACGCGAGTGGCTGCACCACGGCTGCCTCGCCGAGCTTCCCGCCGGGCCATACGCGGCCTCCGCCACGACCCCCCGGTAAGCCCCCGCCACCAATGCCCACATGCCGCCGAGCAACAGCACGTCCCAAATCGCAGCCCGCGCCGCACACTCCGCGAGGAAACGCCCGACCGCGACTTAGCGCACCGCGCTGGCGTCCCCGCCTCGCCCCTCCGGGGGAAACCATGAGGTTCCGATACCGCCATTGACCAAACCTCTCCCAGGGTCCCGGGGTGCGTTCTGACAGCAATTTCGAGGCGAATCCAACGGTGGCGACGAGGGCCTCCCGGGAGGGCCAAAAAGGGGAGAGCGAGGGAAGAGTAGCGGCATCATTTACCTTGTCCTCCTCGGACCTCCTGCCCCGTGCCCCTGGCCCGCAAGCGAGCAGAGCCTATCCACCGGGGGCCTCCCGGCCGCAGCCGCGAGCAGGCTGACCTCATCTGCCGCGCCCCGTCGGGCGCTGCTCATGGGGCCGCGGGCGGAGCCCTCTAGCCGTGGGTTGCAGGGCTGGGGCGGGCGTCTGCATCGGCACTGCAGCGTCTGCCCAGCGGGGGAATGAAGGGGGGCGCGCGGGGGGTGGGGGCAACGGAACGGGGGGCGGCGCAGAGAGGCGCACCCTTCGCGCGCCCCTTTCCTGCAACCCTCGGTCTCCTTCCCTCCATCCGTCCCCCCCGATTCTTTCGGGAATGCAGAGATGCAGTCGACGCCTCCCAGTAAGGACGCGCGCCTGCATCTAGGGTACCCTTGTGCCCTTGCATCTAGGGCCCGTCGTTTGCCGCTCAATGGTTGCCCGCCGCCCAAAAAGTACCAAATTCGGCCTCCAAGGATCTTGCGTCCTTACCATCCGTCCTCAATACGCGTTTGACTGCACCGATACCGCTACTCCACAACCCTCGCTCGGGGTGAACTCTTCCTTCTTAAGTATTCGAACTTCTGATGGCGCTGTCGCGCGCGCGCGATTGTATGTTCCAAGGGGTCTCAGCACTGGTTCCAATGTCGCGCGCCGCCTCAGGAATGCCCAAGACAATCGCCGCAAATCTCTTCCAGATCGCAATTGCTCCAGGGACGACAGAATTGCCGGTCTCGGGAAGCATGCTGCTCAGCTGTCGCGTTGCGCCAGGCCGCCTGCAACTCGACTGCACGACTCATTTCAACCTGCGCTGCTCCCAGAAGACTGCAACGCTTGCTGCATGTCCACGCTGAGCTCTAGCCAGGCGGTGTCCTCGGAAACGTCCGCCAACTCTGGCAGGCCACTCCCGAAGATGAGCCACCACTCGCAGGAGCAATGTCACCACCTTGCTGCCCACTGGCAGCCCGCGCCGTTGCCAGTAACCGAGAGTTCCTGAAGGCTTGACACCGGCGATGTCGAGTCTGTGCCTTCGTCCTTCAAAGGCGCACTCTTCTCCGCTTCAACGCCCCTGTTCAACGCCTCCGTTCAACGCACGCTCACTTGCGAGACGCCCGCCCTGGACCCCCATCGGTGCCGCTGGGGCCTACATATGTTATGTCGGCGGTGGCTCCCTTTAGTAAACCTCCTCTTGGTGAAAACGGCCTGGGACCGAAACCGACGGACCTGGACCCGCAAAAATGACGGCCGCGACGCCCTCTCGCGAACCGAAAACGGCCAATTCGCTAATCCACGTGTCAGGGTAGGAGGTCTATAAGCCTTCGATTATGAGCGCAGGGAAGAGACGGGTCTATCGCGAGATGACGCATATATAACGACCTTACGCGGCGGCTCAAGTCGGCCACCAACGCGGCACGCCGCGTGGAGAAGAGGGCACTGACGCGCGACTGTAATTACGCAGGGAACTCACGCGCGAACGTCTGCGCAGTCGATCCCCCCGTCTTCTGCACCGCTCATACGGGCGCTGCCAGGGGGCCGCCATGGTTTGGGAGCCCCGAAACGGTGCGGTGACAGACCGTGCGGTGACCTCGAAATCCACCAAGACCTCACCGCACGGTCCGTCACCGCTCGGTCTTGGGACCTCGGAGGCCCCTGTCGCCCGAGACGTCCTCGGAGAACGACCCGAGTCCCAAAACCGTGGGGTGACCCCGAATCCCCACCGACTCACCGCAGTGTGGTCACTGCACCGTTTGGGGGCCCCCGAATGCCACCTAACGCGGATTCTGGGCCCGGGCCAGACCTCTCCCAGCGTGCGTTCTGGTCAGAACCGCGATGCGAATCCAGTCGTGGCGACGAGGGCCTCCAGGGAGGCCAAACAAGCAAGACGAAGACGAGGGAAGGGTCGCCACAGCGGAAATCTTCTCTTCCCTTGGGCGGGCACACCACGCCGCGGCGGCGCTGGAGCGCGCCGCCGGGAGCCCGACGAGGACGCCCCGGCACGCAGCCGGCGAAGCACTGCTGCGCCGAGACGGCCCGACGAGCCGCGCGCCTGGCCGCAGCCCTCCGCTCGGGAAAACTGTGTGTTTTTGAAGCTGGATCCAGCTTCAAACACTGTCAAATCCTCCAGAGAACTGTGTGTGTGTTTGTGTGTTTCAATCAGTTCCGGCTTCAGAAACACGCCATCTTTGAATCCAGACCCGGCTTCAAAATCACGCAGTTCTCTCGCACCGCTTTGACACCAACCGCTGCGGGCTGCCACCGCGCCGCTGCTGGCGCGACTTCTTCCCGACCATAAGCGGATCCGCGCCCCTCGATGATCCTCAGGACGCGTGTTGGCGCCAACGAGTGCTTGTCCACTGGAGCCCCTCGAGTACGATGCAGGCGGTGCAGTGAGGGCCGACACGGGATGCGTGGGCGAACACATGTCCTGAAGATCACCGTGTCTCGGCCAAGGTGTCTGTATCTCTCTGCTCCTTGCTTAGGGAGGAAACCAATGACATAAACATAACAACTCGGAGGTCCGCGCGGATTTCTCGGATCCGCGATGGACCCCCCCCCCCCCTCCCTGACGCGCGGAGCGCGCCGGGGGCGGCGCCGGAGACGCCGCCAGTGGGGTCCAGCGCGGATCCGAGAAATCCGCACGGACCTCCGAGGTGTTATGTTTGTGTCATTGTTCGTTCCCCTATTTCACCATCCGTGCCGCTGGGCTACGCAAGCATGGTAAACCAAAAGTGTCTCGGCCGTCCCTGAAGCCCAAACATGTTCGCGTCGCGGAAAAACGGCAACGGAGCATATTCACAGTTCTCGACCTCTGGGAGTCCTCGCCTGGCCCCGCGGAGACCATCAACAAATCGCCCGAGAGAAAAAACTTGCCCCCAGAAAACATTCGACACGTCCGAAAACCTTGTATCAAACACCGCCAAAAAAACAGGAGGAGAAACTTGCCCCCAGAGGACACTCGACACTTCCGAGGACCCTGCATCGAGAACATCAAGACATCAGATGTCTGGGTCTCCCCGCCCGTAGACGACTCCGTCTCGGCCGTCCTCGCACTGGAGGAAACTGCGGGGGTGGATGGGGGGAGTAAGAAAATCAGGATGAACACCTGGCCCTTGGTGCCTTCCGGCCAGAGTTTCAATGGGAGTCCAGCCGTGGCGGCAGGGGCGCCCTGATTCAGAAGGCACAAGTGAACAACCTCCTGAAGCCTGATCGCTCGAACTATGATCTCCGGACCGGAGAAATCCTGGATGCTCCACATCGCTCAGTCAGCACACTTCTCCCTCCTCTGGCGATGTGGCCCACAATCTTGTTTGAGCCGAGCGCGCTCGACCCAAAGGCGTGGGACCGGGAACACTCGCCACACTTTTTTTCCGCTGGAGCAGTGGCACATGCAATTGTGAAAAAAACAACACAAGCACGAACACATACACACACAGACACACACACACACGCCCCCCACACACACACCCCAACCACGCCCCCCCCCACCATACACACACACACACCCACACACAACACACACAACACACACACACACGAACACACACGCACACACACAGACACACACACACTCACACACACACACACACACACACACACACACACGCAGCCGGACCTAGGCACCTAGGCCCAAAACACATCCCTCAATAACATGAGACCCTCCGTCGGTCAAAACGCACAAAACATCCGAAGGTACTCTACCCACTATGCACAAACACTTCTATTAAACACAAAAATCACGAGGGTACCCTCCACGAGCCGTTATACCTCGGTCCGAGTGCACAGTCGCACGCATTCGCAAACACGCATACAAACGCACGCACACATACATACCCACAAGTTTTTTCGGGCAACGCAGTCGTGCTCGCGGCACGACGGCAAGGACAAGCAACCTCATTCAACATGCAACATGCACACACAAACGTTTTTTATGGCGTCGCGGCCGTGTTCGCGGCGACACGGCGGAGACAGTCTCAATCAACGTGCACACGCGCACGCACACACGCACACACACACACACACATACACACACACACGCACACGCGCACGCGCACGCACACGCGCACACACATACTTTGTACCGCAAGCGCTGATATCTCAGACGCCAGGCAATCACCTACGGTGGCAGCGGGCATATTTTTCGCCGGCGGCTGGGCAGAGTAACTGCGCTGGCGGACGAGCTATATAAACGGGGGCACCGTTGAAGCGAACTGTGCCACAACGCATGAAAAGGTCTGAAAACAAGGAGGGCGGCCCAAGGGGGGGAGAGCGCGTGGCGCGGCCAGCCCCGCCGGCAGGGTCGGCGGCGGCTGCTGCGCCGGGGCCCGGCGGCGGCGGGGCGCAGCGCGGGTGCCGGGAAAGCCTGGTGGGTCAGGGTGCGATACAGTCACGGGCCTGACCAGGCGGTGGCTGCGTTCCCCAAGTGCGGGCGCGGAGGGGGTGGCGAAAAGGTATCGCCCATGGGGGCGTGACCAGCAAGATGTTGGGCCAGCGGAAAGTGGCGGGTGGCGGGGATGGGGTGACGGGCGGCAAGACCCAGCCGGCTCCCCAGCTGGCTGCTGCAGGCAGCGGCTCGGCGCCATAGCGGCGCGCGGTGGGAAAACGCGGGGGAACAGGGCGCAAGACCAAGCCCAGGGCCCCGAACGCGAAGCGGCTGCAGGCCGCAACCCGGGCACCGCGGCGGCGCGCGGAGGGAGGGGTGCGGCCCCCAATGCCCGGGAGGACAGGGTGGGCCAGTGGGGAGGGCCAGGCCGCCGCTCGTCGCAAGGGCGGGCAGCCAGCGGCGCTCCGTGGCCGGGCAAAACTGTAGCTGACGCCGGCGGCCCCCACTGCCCGGGTGGACAAGGCGAGCCAGGTCGGGGCACTTATTCGGCGAGGGAAAGTACGTAGCTGCACTGACAGAGCAAGCAGCGGAGGAAAGCGGCGTCGCGCTGGCTGGGGTCGCGGGCGCCGCCGCCGCGCAGAGCGCCGTAACTGGTCCAGCCAGGCCGCGCTGGGTCACCACCCGCTTGCTGCATCCTCCTGGCCCGGGCCGCCTGGGCCCCCATTCGAGTTGAGGAAATTGATCAGGACGCGCGCTGGGGCGTCCTCGGGGCGCGCCGGCCCCCTGCCCTAAGTCCGAGGCGACCGAATCCCAGGGGGCGCGGGCGTCACGTGGCCCAGGCACCCTTGACGAGGAACAGGAACTCACGCCGCGCGGGCGGAGGCGCCCCCCCATCGCAGACTGGCGCTGGGGGGGCCCTCGGTGATGGAGCCGCAAGCGCCCGTCGTCGCTGGGCCATAGCGGAGAGCCTCCGGGGCGGACGATGGGTCCCCGGGCCCCGTTCTGAAGTTTGCCGACGGCGACCCAGTCGCCGGCCGCCGCCGCGGCCCCGGCGAACTGCAGGGGCGGTCGCCAGGCGCGGCCCCGACTGGATTGCGCAGCTGGGTTCTGCTATGGCACCGATGGCGCTGCTGGGTTCCGATTTTCGGCTGCGGCGACGACGGGCGCCCAGGGCGCGCGTCGGCGACGCGGTCGGAGGCGGCGTCGTCGATGGAGCCAGCGCCGGCGTCGACGTCGCGGCGAGCGTCGGCGTCGTTTTCAAGGGCCACGGCGGTCTGGGTGCCGTTTGCCAGCCGTGGCGACGACGGGCGTGCAAGGCGCGCGCCGGCGACGGGTTCGGCGGGCCGTCGCCGGCGTCGGGGTCGGCGCTAGGGTCTGGTTCCGCGTCGACGTCATCGTCGCCGCCGTCGGCGTCGTCGATGGGGCAGCAGGCGCCGGCGTCGGCGCCGGTGCCGTGGCAGGCATCGCGGTCGTCGTCTTGGGCCAGGGCCGTCGCTGGGCCGCCTTCACGGGCGCTCTCTCCACCGATCGGAGGACGGGGGCCGTCCGATCCGCTGTCGAAGGAGGGCGGGCGGATGGGAGCGAAGGGGCCTCTGTTGACCAGGCGATCGAATGCGGCTCTGTCCGCTTTTTGGGCCACCCCCTTCCGGGCCAGCGACGCCGCGCCGACCAATTCCCAGCTAACGGGCGGAGCGGCAGCCCCAGACCCGCCAAACAATGGCGGCCATTCGCCCTGTTGGGGCGCCTAGCCAGGGGGGCCTCTGGGAAAACGGCAGCACCGGGGAGGATTGCCCATCCGCGTGGAGTGCTCGAACCCAGGTGTAAAAGGGCAAGTCCGCGGGGGCGTGCCCGTCTCCATCCACCTCATCTCCCGGGTTCCACAGGGTGAGGTGCTCCGCTCCGCGTGGAGGGTGCCCCTGGAATCCCTCCCCACCTCCCCCTCCTTCCGTCCCAGGGCTCGGGGGGCACCTGACCAGCGCGCGGCCGAACTGGATCTGCGCCCTCCTTGCAGGCGGCGGAGCCCACAGGGGGAAGTGCTCCGCGCCGCGCGGGGAATATCCAAATCCTGTGAACTTCCCCCCCGGCCCCCCCTCCCGGTCTGTCGCACCTAGACAGGCGCGTGATCACCGGGTTGAAATTGTTCCCTCCACGCAGGCGGCGGACCCCGCAGGGCGGAGCGCCCTGCGCCGCGCGGAGGGCGCCACGGGTCCCCGGGAACCCCTCCCCGCCACCTCCGCCATCCGTCCCAGGTCTGCGGGAGCATCTAACCGGCGCGTGACCATCAAGCTGGATCTGCGCCCTCCCTGCAGGCGGCTGGGCCCTCAGGGTGAGGTTCTCCGCGCCGCGCGGAGGGGGCCCCGGGAATCCCCCCGCGCCCCCTCCTCCTCCATCCGTCCCAGGTCGTGGGGGGCACCTGACCAATGCATGATCGGCGTGGTGGGTCTGCGCCCTCCCGTCCCTGGAATCGGCGGGGCCCGCAAGGCGGGGTGCTCCGCGCCGAGCGAAGGGCGCCCGTCAACCTGGGGGTTTCCTCTGTCTCCCTCGCCTCATGGTGCGGGGTCGAAGCGGGTCGGCGCCCACAGGGTGAGGTGCTCCGCTCCGCGAGGAGGGCGCCCCTGGAACCCCTCCCCAGCTCCCCCCCTTCCATCCCAAGGCTCGGGGGCAACTTAACCGGCGCGTGGCCGAGCTGGGTCTGCGCCCTCCCCGCAGGAATCGGAGCCCACAGGGTGAGGCGCTACACGCCGCGCGGATGCTCCCCTCCGCCCCCCCTCCCGGTCTGGGGTCGGACGTGACCGCCTTCCCTGCAGGAGGCGGATCCCACAGGGTGAGATGTTCCGCGCGGCACGGGGGGCGCCTGTAGATTTGTTCCTCACCTCGTCGTTCTGCTGTCCAGGGCAACTGGCGCGCAGTCAAACATTTGGGGCTGCCTGCGCCCTCCGCGCAGATAGCGCGGCACGCAATGTAGACTGCTCCGCGTCGCACGGAGGGCTTCTGGTGAGTCCGTCCGCGTCGCAGGGGGGGCGCCCTGGGATCGCCGTGGCAAGGCGGGGTGATTCGGGAGTTCCCTGACGGCTCTCGTTGAAACGCACGCGTGGCGGGAGTCTCCGGAGATGCTCCAGAGAAATCTGGAAACCATCGAGGTGCTTGGGGTCGCCGCGACGAGGGCCTCGCCCCGCGGAGGGCAGCCGTGACGCGGCGGGACGATACGAGCGCCCCGGGACGGATTTTGCAGAGGCGCACTGTGCGGGGGCCTCCTGAGGTCCCCAGCGCTCCGGGAGAAGGCTGGAATCCTTCGAGCTGCTCGGGGTCGCGCTGCTGGACTCCGTCGCGCTGGTGGAGTTTGCCCTGGGACAGCTCGCTGTGCCCAGCCCGCCGCGGAGACCGTGGAGGTCGCGCCAAGACCGTCCAGGATGCCAGCGGGCCTCAGGCCAGCCAGAAACGATCGACAGGTACCCGGGCAGTTTGCCGGTGATGTTGGGCGTGAAGTAGCCCGTGGTGGCCATAGTGCTCACGCGGCCGCGCTTCAGCTCTGTTTGGCGCCTCTGGGTGACGTCATTCGTGTTGCCATCCGTTCTGAACCCAGCAAGGGCCCAGAAACTGATACTTGTAGATGCGGTCTGGCCCGCAACCAGAAGGCAAACTCCCGCGAGTAAACACTGAGATGACTACAAATTGGGGGAACCTGCACCGCGCGATTTCCGGTCGAGCAGTGTCATGCATATGCACGCGAAGCAGCGTCTCCCGCAGTCGCGCGCCACTCTTGCCAGCCACTCAGGGCAAGGACCTGCAACGCACGCAACTACAAGCAATGTCATCCAAGCCACGCCTCCCGCACGGCACATGGCGAAACGCTCGGGTTCCCAGCGCCCGAAAGAAACTTGCCGGGCGTGCTCAGATCTCCGGCGACTGTATTTCTGGTTCGCGCGCGCGGGGCCGCCCCTGGGGCCCCCCAGACGAAAAATACCCTGGCAAGGTTCTGGGCAGGTCCCGGCCAGGTCCCAGCAGGCTCCCAAGAGCGTTTCAGGAGTGCTTCAAGTGGCCCCAAAGAGAGCTCAACATTGTCCGAGACGGCCCAAGAGCGATCCAAGACGCCAGAGATGGCCTCCAGACAGCCCACAGCGCCATCAAGTCGCCCCAAGAGGCTTCCAAGAGACCTCCCAGAGGGTCCATAGAAGCAGAATTTTATAATTTCCCCATGGTTGCGAAGATTAAAAGCCCAAGACGGGGACCAAGAACCGAAAAGTCCAGCCTTCAGCCCCGAAAAGCCTCCAGCAGGCTCCAGGAAGCCCTCGAAAGGCCCCAAGGGGGCCCCAAGAGGCACCCCAAGAAACCCCAAGAGGCCCACAAGAGGCCCCAAAAAGCTCCAACACGGCTCCCAAGAGGCCTCGAAACTGCCTCCCATAGGCCCCATAGAGGCCAACCGCGAGAGCCCAATCGACATCCATGATTCATGAGGCTTCTAACCCACCCACCCCCCGTCCGAAAAGTGGCAGCCGCCCAACCGCACCGCATTGACAATTACACCCCAACAAACGACAACGGCGAGGAAATATGGGCCGGCGGGATGAGCGAAGCGATTCCATACCTCGATTCTCGTCAGCGCGAAGGCGTGGCGGGCCGCTGATAAACTGCTAGGCCAACACGGGGCTGAAAGACCGGCAGCAAGCATCCCATGCGCGAAACTGTCAAAAGCAAAATCGATCAAAGACACACCCGGAACGGAAACAAAAAAAAAAAAAAAAAAAAATCCTTCTCAAATTCTTGGGAGCCGGGATCACAGCCAGAAGAAAGTCAAAGAGCACACTCACCAACCAAAGCCACTCAGCATCGACGTGCCCAAAAATAGCAAATATATCACGAGTGCCCGGGAAAACCATGACGAATCTGGTCAGCACCTATGTGCCGAGGAATACTGCGATTGATGCCCAGGTGCACCATGACGAGCCTGAAGCGGCTGGCCAACTTTGATAACGAGAGCGAAAGGACGCGGCGAAGAAGAGCAGCTGGGGTACTCTGAATACACACCAAGAACACGTAGGACCAACGCATAAACAAACATGCAGTAACCAAGCCAATCGACCACTATAGCGACCGCGTGCTGACTCACGACATGGGATGGAATCGTCTGCCCCGCAGGCGTGCAATCGTACGGCATGTACTCAATCGTTCCTGCGCCAATCAGGGCAGTCTGGGCCATCCAGCAGCAGCTGGACGGCCCCCAAAACACCGTCTCGCCTCCCCAACCGCCGTCACCCCCGGTATGCCTCGGACGGCTGGATCAACAGCTCGGGGGGCCCAGCAGGGTCCCAGAAGCCCTAGAGGTCCTGGACACCCGTCTCGCTCCCGAGTGGGCAACGCGGCGATCCAGTGTAGTCCGCTTAGTTGCCCTGCGCGGAGCCGAGCGACCCGCCCGCAACATCAGCATCAGGAAAACTGGTGGCCGCGGCCGCGGCGGCGGCAGCTGCGCCGGCGGCCGCGGCGGCGGCGCTCGCGGCGGCCGGTCCCAGGGTGGCTGCGCGGGCCACGGCGGCGGCGGCGGCCCCGGCCGGCGAGCCAGCCGCCGCGGCGGCGACAGCACGCGCGGCTGCCTCGGGCGGCGGCGGGGGCCGCGCGCGTCGGCCACGGCGCCATGCCCGTGGCGTCCGCGGCGCCCATGGCGCCCACGGGGCGCTGGGCGCCGGCAACGCCCGCGTCGCCTGCGACATCAGCCGCATCGGCGGGTCATGCCACTCCGCCCGGCGATCCGTTCAGGGCCTGCACCCCAAGTGGGACTTCACTCACCCCACCACAGGTCTTGGTGGGCACGGATCTTGGACCCCGGGGCTTCCCCTGCCGCGGCGACAAGGAGGCGCAAAAGCCTCGATCCCCGAGCCTGTAGAGCCTCGATCCGTCCCCCTCCTCCTCGCCGCGACGGCGCGAGCCTGCCAGCGAGGCCAGCGATCGCCGAGTGCTGGCGATCAAAGGCGTTGGCATGAGGGAAATGATCATGCGATCGTCCTCGGGAAAAGTGCGCGAGCACTCACGCCATGTTCATCTGTCAGTGCCCCCCCTCCCCACTAATGATGACAATTGGCGGTGGCTGTGATAAGGTGCACTTCGGCTGCAGTCTCCCCCGCACGTGCCAGCCTAAATTCGGGCGAGGGGGTGGCCGTCTTTCTCTCTGCAGCAAAAGCATAGAAACGGGTCCTGCTTTCCCAGGGGCAAACTGTCCATTCTGACCCGCTTCATGACAATCCCTAAGGCCGGGGAATACCCCTAGAGACCGAGAGCGGTGAAAACCCTGCATGACCCGCTTCCTCCAGAGCCTGTGTTTTGCAAGCGCGCGACTGCCACGCCAGCCGCGGTGCGCCCAGGAGGAGCGGCGCCCCTATTCTCTTCTTTTGTCCTAGCACGGGGTGGGAACGAACCTCCTCCTCTTCCACCCCTTCTCTCTCCTCCCTGCTCACGCCTGCATACTCCCTTCCTCTCTGTCCTTCCTGCCTGATGATTCCCGCCAGCCCGCTGGGCGCGAGCGGTCCGATTATGTCTCTCTTCCCTCTTCCAAAAGCCCCTCTTCCCCTTCGGGGAAGGATTTTTTCACGGTTCCCAATGGATTGATAACCCTCCCCCATGAGACCAGCGGCCAACTGGGAACCATGCTCCCCCCCTCGGCACCATCCCTGTCAAAAAGCAATACAAAACGCATGTTGCTTCCACATTTGGAGCATGCGCCGCCAACCCGATGCGGCCCCCCACCCCACCATCCTTGTCAAAAAATACACGGTACACATTGGGGCAAGAAGTGAAATCATGATCGTGCGACCCACGAATACTGTGTATTTTTGTTTACAGAAAAGGCGGCCGGGGTGTCAGGATATTGCCTGCTGCGCGCAGGGTTACCATCCATGACAAAAAACAATACTAACTTCACCTCGCGACTAAATCTGGATCATGCGTGGACCCCCGCGATAACTGCCAAATGGTTGTTGACACGGACGGCGGGGGTGGTGGCGTATGGCCTGCTGTGCGCAGGCCCACCAGACACAAGAATGGGCTTGTGGTTTTCTACAAGGATGGTGGGGGCCGACATGTTTCCCGATGTATGCTGTCAGGTGCGCAGGCGCACCTGGCACACTCTGCACGTGCCCCGAACGTGGCGCACCTGGCGCGGCTGGAGTATGCGGCACACCTGGCGCATCTGGCGCACCAACTGTGCCTGGCACGCTCGGGCCCCTGGGGTGCCTGGCGCGCGTGGCGCGCCTGGCACGCGTGGCGCACCTCGCCCCAGCGTCGCTCACATGGGCTCGGTTTTGGTTCCAAGTAGCTTTCCATCCAAAGACGACCGCTCAACATACTCAAGCTCGGGTGTTACTCATGTGTTAGGAGGGTGGGTGGGAGTGAGCTAGACGGCTTGCTATCCAGGGGCTGCCTTGACACCTCCTCCTGCCCCCTCCGCTGGACCTGGACGGGGGGGTCGCGAGGTGTCAGAGGGTCCTGTTTAGCCCAAGATGGCTCCAAGAGGGCCCCAGAGAGCCCAATATGGCCTCCAAGATCGCTCACGATCGCCCAGCATGGCTCTAGACAGCTAACAGCATGCCTCCAAGAGACCCCAAAAGGGCCACAAGACGGATGCAAGTGTTTTTGGAGACTCCTCAGGACCTTCCCGGGACGCCAACATCCGGCAAAAACCGAATTACGCTACCGAGGAACCCCACATACTTAACTTAAATCTTGTGTGTTCGCTTAAGTTTATAATCTATGCGCAATTCTGCGTTCTCAGCCCTCGTCGCGAATGTTCCCCTATGTGTCATCCAACGCCATATTGCTTGAACGTCCTTCCTCTTCCTAGCCTTCTATCCTCCGTCGAGGACAGATTCGAACCAGCCAGCGGCCGCGGTGAGGGACCACCCCCTGCGCACCCTCTATGGTGCCGAGAAAGTGCCACGCCTGCTATGCCCTGGACGACCGTCGTGCATAGCGGCCGCGGTGAGGGACCACCCCCTGCGCAGCCTCTATGGTGTCGAGAAAATGCCGCGCCTGCTATGCCCTGGACGACCGTCGTGCATAGCAGGCGCGGTGAGGGACCACCCCCTGCGCACCCCCTATGACGTCGAGAAAGTGCCACGCATGCTGTGCCTGGACGACTGGGGCGTACAGAGACCGCGGTGAGAAAACACCCCCTGCGAACCCCGCATGGTGTCGAGAAACTGCCACGCCTGCTACGCCTGGACGACTACTATGCCTGGACGACCGGGGCGTATAGGGACCGCGGTGAGAGACCACCCCCTGCGCACTCCTTATAATGTCGAGACAGTCCCACGCATGCTGTGCCCGGGACGACATAGGCACATAGCGGTCGCGCTGAGGGACAACTGCTGTGTCTGGACGACCGGGGCGTATACAGGCAGCGGTGAGAGACGACCCCCTGCGCACCCCCTATGGTGTCGAGAAAGTGCCACGCCTGCTGTGCCTGGACGACCGGGGCATATAGAAACCATGGTGAGAGACCACCCCTGCGCACCCCCTAAGGTGTCGAGAAAGTGCCACGCCTGCTGTGCCTGGACGACTGGGGCGTATAGAGACCGCGGTGAGAGACCAGCCCTTGCGCACGCCTTATGGTGTCGAGAAACTACCACGCCTGCTGTGCCTGGACGACCGGGGCTTATAGAGACAGCGGTGAGAAACCACCCCCTGCGCACCCCCTATGGTGTCGAGAAAGTGCCACGCCTGCTGTGCCTGGACGACCGGGGCGTATAGAGACCGCGGTGAGAAACCACCCCCTGCGCACCCCCTAAGGTGTCGAGAAAGTGCAACGCATGCTGTGCCTGGACGACTGGGGCGTATAGAGACCGCTGTGAGAGACCACCCCGTGCGCACCCCCTATGGTGTCGAGAAAATGCCACGCCCGCTGTGCCTGGACGACTGGGCCGTATAGAGTCCGCGGTGAGAAACCACCCCCTGCGCAGCCCCTATGGTGTCGAGAATATGCCATGCCTGGTGTGCCCTGGACGACCGGGGCGTATAGAATCCGCGCTGGGAGACCACCCCCTGCGCACCCCCTATGGTGTCGAGACAGTGGCACGCCTGCTGTGCCTGGACGACTGGGGCGTATAGAGACCGCGGCGAGAGACCAGCCCTTGCGCACGACTTATGGTGTCGAGAAGGTGCCACGCCTGCTGTGCCTGGACGACCCGCCTGCTGTGCCTGGACGACTGGGGCGTATAGAGACCGCGGTGAGAGACCAGCACTTGCGCACCCCCTATGGTGTCGAGAAAGTGCCACGCCTGCTATGCCTGGACGACCGGGGCGTGTAGAGACCGCGGTGAGAAACCACCCCCTGCGCAGCCCCTATGGTGTCGAGAATATGCCATGCCTGGTGTGCCCTGGAAGACTGGCGCGTATAGAGACGGCGGCGAGAGACCACCCCCTGCGCACCCCCTATGGCGTCGAGAAAGTGCAACGCTTGCTACGCCTGGACGACTGGCGCGTGTAGAGACAGCGGTGAGAGACCACATCCTGTGCACCCCCTATGGTGTCGAGAACGTCCCACGCTTGCCATGCACTGCGAATCCTACACGCACGTCTTATATATTGTGTGTCATGTGTATGTGTATGATGTGTTCGCGGCCTGATGCAGTGAACATGCGTCTTGTGTTTGCCCCTATGGTGTCGAGAAAGTGCCACGCTTGC